AAGTACAAAATTAAAATAAGCTTTACTTTGCACATTGTAGTTCTTTTCACGCTGCATCTCCTGGTATATTTTGTTTTTCTAAAACAACTTATTAAGTGATGCAAAAATGAAATGGAAAAAGACCGTTTTTTTTGTCCGAGGGAGAATAGATAATGTGCTTCTAATTTTCAGTACCAGAAGAAGCCTGGTCTAGACATGCAAAATTTCCATGTTCCACGTGACAAGTTTGATATCCTGAGCTGGATGTGAGTGCGGGTATGGTTGAGTGTGGGTGCGAGTGTAGCTGGGGTGTAATTGTGGCTGGGGTGTGGTTGTGGGTAGGGTGTGGGTGTGGGTAAAGATAGGTGTGGGCGTGTCAGTGTGCGCTGTAGGTTTCGCTGTGGATGTGGGTGTTGGAGTCGGTGTCAGTTGAAAGGAAAACTACACTTACATTCACACCCACACCCACACCCGGACTTGCACCCACAGTCGCACCCTCACCCCCATCCGCACTCACACCCTCACTCACACTCACATCCACACCTGCACCCACATCCACACGCACGCACACCCACCCCCACCCCTACCCCACACACCCTCAAGTACAAAAGAAAAGCACGCTGTATGTTATCAATGATTCATGTGTTTTATTTTCAGTTTTACTATTTATTTCCTTTTTTGATCAGTTTTCAATCATATATTTTGAAATAAACTAAGAAATCCATATGAGTTTTTATGCATCATTAAGTTAAGAACTTGTATGAAGACAGTTATTGATCATACATTGATTTGTTCCCTTTATTAACGATGATAATGTCAAATTAATGAAATAGTTTCTGTTAACTAAATAATCATTTTTATTGGAATATCATTGATCTTTTGATCATTTTTTTTCTAAATTTTATTAAATCTTTGAATGCAATTGTTATTTTTTACTTAGGTCTTGTCCTAAATGTATTTTTTAAAAAGTTTATATAACAAATTATCTTCCGGGTTTATAAATATGTTTCTACCAGAAAAGAACTCTCATCTAAAATATTCTAAAGAAACTTATTGTTTATGTGGAATGATTTTACTTGTTATCATTATAAATGTGATGGGGATACCACAAAATGACACCCTTGTGTCATTACCTGCTAACTCATCGGTATTACATCTAATCAATGCATCGTTCAAAAATGAATTAATTAATAAACACTTAGCAACTTATTCACGGATGTATGATAATGCACCACGTTATTGTAATACAACAAGATCATTAAATAAAGAACAAGAACAAGTTTTTTCTAGAATATCAAAACTACTTGCAATACTTCGTGAACAAGTTGTACCTTATTCAAACGAATATTTTCATGGTCGAGGTATTGTTCTGAGTGTTGGATCAGGTCAATTGGCACTTGCAAAAGTCAATTTAAAAATGATTGAACATAGTGGTACTCAATTAAATGTTCAAGTAAATATAATTATATTTAGATATACATCAAAATGAATTTTTCTGTATTAAACAATGATGAAAGAAGTGACAAGAGACTGAACCATTGCTCTAGAGTTATGTTGAGAAGCGTTGCACTATTATTGTCAATCGACTCATCTGTTTACAATACTTCCCTAAGAGTATAAATTTCAACCCAACAATTCAATCTGATAAAAAAAAAGATGAACATATTTCTAACTCAGCTCTTTATTTTTTACAGTTAATGTAGATTTTTCGAAAGAAAATTTTGATTAGAAATTTCAAGTCGAAACCTTCTCTCTCCTGTTTCCTACTTATGTGTGGAACAACATCAAATATCAGCAATTATTCAATAACTTCTCCTAATAACCAACGATCTCAGAAATCATAGTCATTATTCATAAAGTAAATTTCGCTAGTGTCTGAAACCAAAGATCAATAATTTCAATACGACTTTTCAATACTAATAACGAAAGTGAAAGTGAAGGACTGATTTAACTATCAAGTTCAGTTTCAATCTTCAGTGCTATTGAAAAAGAAAGGAAAATCAGTATACACTGCATGTATTTCTATTGAAACAGCAGCGAAAACTATCTTTGACGGTATTTCAGCCGACAAACATCATGATATTTGAGCTGACTCTGTACAAAAAGAGGAAAGAATTATTGACCATTTTTCTTTATATGAATTTCTATTGGATGGTCAAATATGTGGAACGAAGTAAAACTGGTTGCACAACAAAGACGTCACAGGTAGGCATGACCCAAACCCAAACTCATTAGACCAAACACACCAAATCCAAACATTTTGGGTTTGCGTCATGCCTAGCCACAGGGCAAGACAGAACAGAAAACTGTTTGCCCTTTAAATCCAATGCTACTCGATTTTTAAAAAGCAATTTTTAATTGATTAAATTTTAGCTATAGCTTCAAATTGATTAGAACTCTAATCAAATTCATTTTCTTATGCATAGCTCAAGAAGTATCCATATCTTATAACTTGTTTGTTCGAAAAGAAAGAAAAACTTCAGTAGACTAATAGCAGATCATGGATTTTCTTGAATGCTTTTTCGAAAATTCTGTAAATTTATAAAGTGTGCCACCAAATGTTTTTGCTAATTTGAATCACTTTTCCTCTAGCAAAATGTTTCTCCAAGTAATAATTCTGATGTTTCGACACATGATCATTGAAAGTGTCAATGTAAATATCAGAGAAATTCTTCAAAAATTCCTACTGTTTTTAGATGTGTACCAGAAAAATTGGCTCGCAGTAGAAGACCATTCTTTTTTGTACAAAAAAAACGATCTGAATTTCAGTAATAGAAGTTCATTTACTTTTTATTCGGTTGGAGTAGAGGTGTTAATGGATCCTTTCCTATAAAATAAATATTAATACAATCTCTGTGCTTATAGAATATATGGAAGTAAATTCTTTATCTTCTATAATGATAAATCTTTTGTTTTGGCAAAATAAATATAAAGAGATAAGTAAACGTTTGTTGTTAAAAAACAAAGTTAAATAAAAATCATTATTTCTATAATAAAAAATATAGATGTATGGCTAACTCATAGAAATAAAGAATAAAGAGAGATTTATTGTTATAATAGTTAAATAGACAAATACTTAACATAATAGGAGAATACATAGGCAGCCGAGCCTGTAGGCTCGGTGAGGCTTAAGCCTCACCTGATTTTGGCTTCTGTAGGCCCACCCACACCGAAATTTTGAATTTGAAGTTTAATCGTTTCTATATGGCTTCAAATTTTTCTGTAAATAAAATTTTACTTTACTATGAAAATTAATATCCAGTAGGGGATTTTTCGTGAAGCCCCCCCCCCCGCCCCCTTTGGTCATTATTTCAAGAAAAAGAAATTCTTTTTGTTTCTCCCGGACGTTCAGAAGGAGGTGAAAAATCCGATTTTTACCTGGACGTGTCTGCGAAATTTTTAGCCCCCCCTCCCCTCTCCCCCACTCCCTAAAAGCATCGACAACCGTGGAGCTGAGCCTCG